TTAATTAATTTTTCGTCATTAGCGTCCATGGTACCGAAAAGTGATTTTGCAATTGTGCCTATTCCGTCAATAAGTTCTCTTTTTTGGATTTTCGTATGTTAGAAAATATTTTTGTTATTAATTGATTAATTTGTTTATATCCATTATTTAGTATTAGATGAAGATTTTCATATGTTTCGGTATCGATGCTTACGGTTAGTTGACACATCGCTTTCGTTTTTAATACAATATATATTTGTGAATTTGTTCTAAACGTTTTGGTAATGCAGTAGTATCTAATTTTATGACTAACTTCCATGAAGATTGAATGAGTTGTATGTTTCCTAAGTGCTCATAATATATCCCTGGATTATTGGTAAATTTTTCTATTTAACAGGGTGTGCTTATCTTAGTGTTGCCTTGCATTATGCTTAACATTATTCTGAAATTATAATATTGTGACGTTAATTAAATTATTTTTTATTTTGTCTCATGTTCGTTTTGTATTCGTTCATTCGGTCAGGTTATATTTTACTTTAGCGGTGTCGTCTTTTATTTCTCGCTGTGTCGAGTCCTTCTCATTTTATATTCTTATGAATTTTTTCGTGAGAAGATTTTTATATAGTGCGCTGTCTCGTCAGTAGCTTCGCACGTTTCATTTGGTCTAGTTCATCTTTATAATAGCATGTGTCGTTTCGTAATTAGAGATATTGAGCTTAGATTCCCGGAGTCTCCTGTTGATGGAGAGGTGCCGGGTGCTCCACAGCAAGTTTTCATGTATCCGGCGCGGCGTCTCGCGATTACTAGGGAGCGTTTCGGCTCGAACCTAGTGGTCGATTCAGGCTCCCTTCAATGTTGGTAATTTTAAACATCTTTTGTGTGGACGTGGTCCTGTAAACCGTGGTCGTGGTGCACATATCAGTAGATAGGCTAGGCCGGTTCTAGATCGGGTGCAATGAGGGGGGGTGAGGTGCGCGGGGAAGGTACGGGGGAGCCGGGGCCTTATCGCGCCGGGGTCTTATCGCGCCGTCCCCCCGCCGTCCCCCCAGGATATATCGTTACAAAAAAGGTGCCGCCGCGGGATACCGTTACAAAGGCCGCCGCAAAAAAGTCCGCCGCCGCGGCCAAGCGCATGCATGCGATGACATCATCATCGCGACGACCGCATGGATCTAAGTAATTAAAATGTTGTTACTTACGTACAGCGGCATCGGTGGTAGCAGTGGTAGCTCTCCCCCGACGACCTATTGCCACTCCGCATGCAGGTGGGCGAGGAGATGGAAGAATTCCTCCACGTTGCCCACCTCCATATGGTGCATCAGCATCTGGTCAATCGGAGGAGCCTTACCGATGACGACGACGTCGTCGTCAACTACGTTGTCCTCCACGACGACGTCGTCGTCCTCGTCCGCTACGTCGATGACGACGTCGTCTTCGCCGCCATCCTCTACGTCGATGACGACGACGTCCTCCATAGGAGGAGGTAATGGAGGGGGTGTCGGAGGTAACCATGGACGGTTCTCGATCTCTATAGCTACCTCCATAGCTACCTCCATGGCGATGTCGATGGCCACGTCCATCGCCACCTCCATCACCTCCTCGTCTTCGAAGAATCGTAGAAATTGTTCGCGAGCCCCCTCGCGATGCCTCATCGTTTCTTATGTTTTGTTTTTTTGTACTCTCACGCACGCACGCACACACACACACACACACACACACACACACACACACACACACACACACACACACACACAACACTCTCGCACGCACGCACTCAGTTAGTTTGAAAAAAGTAAAGTGTATAAATTTGAAAACGAACGGGTATGCCCGCAAAAACGGCGTTGCTCGAACGGACACCGGGCACCTGTGTCTACGTCGCAATTGCGCTCGTTAGCGGCTTCGAATCAGAGGAAGAACTATCGAACTGACAGACGAAAGAACACTGACGACGAGATGCATCGGCGAGAGAAATGTCTCGGCCCTATCTAATATATATATATATATAACCGATTGACGTAAGGTTGCCGACGGCCTATGTAACGCGTATGATTACTTTACAAATATAATCTCGCGTAGTAGAGCATACTCTAACGCGAGTAAAAGAATCGTTTCGAAGGATAATGTCTTTTTAGTTTAATTGTGCAATATATACTTATATTTAATCGTGTAATATATATATATAATTGTAGTATAACGCGCGGGAGGGGAAAGAAAGGCTAGGAAGAAAGTACGCGTGTGCAGAGTATAAATTTTTTTTTTATTCATAATTTTGTAGTACAATGTAGTAAGTGTTATACATTATTTATTTTTATCGAGCGTTAAAAATCAAAGCGAGAATCTCGCAATCGACGAGCTGGCGTTTGTCGAAGACGTCGCTCTCGCTTATAGCGTTCGCGACGTTGGCAAAGCGCGTGTACTTGACGTCGACGGTATCGACGAGTCGGAACAATGGGCGCGTTCAAGACAGCAAAGCGGCTGACTTGCTTGCCGAGCAATTGCATTGAACGGTACAGTTTGTTAGCTGCTTTGTCGCAGCTGCTAACCTAGCAGCGCAGCATAATTTATTTTCGCTGTCTTAGGTTTAAATGTAGGTTATGTACGTTTGTTTTTAAGTAAGGATCTGGGTATCGATCATGAAATTGTTTTCCTAGGATGAAAAATAAAAAGTGAAATTTTTTACCATTGTAATTAAAGAAAAATTTGGAGAAATTTTTCACTTTTTATTTTCTATCCTAGGGAAAAAGTTTCATGATCGATACCCTGATCCCTGAAAACGAAGATAGCTACAATTATCGTGAAACAAATATTTTAGAATATCTTTTTTGTTAGACCTTAGATGACAATCGCAAGCTTAGGATTATTTGTGCATCATACGCTTTGCACGAAGGTATCATTTGGTATGTACGACCTACAGAATTTCTACAATAAGTAAATTATAACCTCAAGTGATAGCTATAAGAGCTGAAATAAGTGAATTTTGTATTCTTTTCTCCAATTGTGTAATCAAATTTAGCGTTATACCCATTCATTTTGATGTGTACTTTCATCGTGTGAAAAAATTTCATGATTTATAAAGCCAATTCGAAGAAAATGGTTAACTGTAATTGTCGGTCATTCTCGTTGCTTTAGGATCTCCTTAACATGGAAATTCCAAAAACACAACGCATAATTTTAAAAGACGGAAATTACTTTATTGATGATAATAATGTATTAGTATTTTCTGATACTGGTATGTATTATAAAAATTATATCATATATTTATATTTTTTAACTAGGAAATAAAGACCTACGGTCAAACTTCAATGCTTCAATAATTCGATGTATAAATTTATCTAACATATAGCACTATACTTCAAATTTAGTTTCTTTATTTTAATTCCTTTATTTCCTAATTGTTATATATTTACATTGTGGTCTTAGAGATATTTTGTTTCATATTATCCATATTTTTTATTTAAAACTAATTCTACAGATGACGGATGTGTATATGTTCCACTTGAGAATGAGGCAATGCAGCAAAACATGGGAGAAATCTCTAATGCACGGGAAACAGAAAACGCTATAAGTATAACACATTCTTCTACCGAAATTGATAAAAGTATGTATATTTTTATTTCTTACCTAAGATTTCTGTTGTAATCATTTTATTTATAACTATTTCTTATTAATTCAAAAATATCTTTACTAGATAATTTTATCTGGAATGAAAAAGCTATTTATTTAATGCTAGAAGAATACAAAAAAAGAGTTGACCGCTTTAGAAATCCAAAAAACAAAAAAAAACAACTTTGGCAAGAAATATGTAATGAAATGGCAAAATATGGGTATAAAGTTGAAGCAGATGCAATAGATAAAAAGTTTAGGAATATGAAATCAAGATATTTAGTTATAAAAGATAATAATGATAAAAAGAAGACAACGGGCACTGGCAGAATTTCCTGGACTTATTTTGACATTATGTCTGAAATTTTTTTCGATGATAAGACAGTAAATCCAAACGTAGTAATGGCATCGACGGTTTCTTTGAATAATGATGATAACAATGATAATAACAATGATAATAATAAGAAAACTGAAAAGATTGTTAGAAATATTTCTTCTCCAAATGTCAGTGATCAAGAAAATGAAAATTTTTCACAATGTTCTAGTTCAACAAGTAGTAGTAGTACAAATATTTTAAAAAAAAGAAGAACCATTGGAAAAAGAAAAACCCCTATAAATTCTTATAGAAAAAAATGTATAGAAGTAGAAGAAGAACGAAATAATGATTTAAAAAGGTTAATAGAAGCTGTGGAAAATAATAATGCAATACAAAAACAAAAACTGGAAGTGTTAAGGCAGTATTTATCTTCTCAAGAAAAGTCATAATTTTTTTATACTCAATAAACATTTTTATATTTAATCTTTAGTTATATACACGTAGTACATAAATATATCTTCTAGCTTTTGGCGAATATACATATAATACGTATATGTATAATATAAAATACATACAGATACATATAGTCTTTAAAGATTTCGCATTTTGTTGACAAAATATTCTCAAATATTATGAAATATTCTAAACTATTTTAAGTATTCTAATAATGCAACAAAGTTTATTATTACAGTGGTAGTTAATTGTAAAAGAAATTTAATTTAAAAAGAACTTTATACCATTGTATACTTTCAATTTTATACTTTTAATTATTTTTTATAAATCAATACTTTAATTTCTGTTTTAGTAGATGCAGATGATTACATGTATTATTAAAAATGCAAAAACATCATAATTGTTGCAGAAGCCAAAAATATTAACATTAGATAAAAATTTTTTATATTTGTTACAACTGAATTATATTTTATGTTATAATGCCTCTAAGTCTATTTTTCATTTATAAAACATATTAATCTAACATTGTTTTAATATTACATATATTTTAGAAAATGTCTTGTACCTAATTTTTGTTACTTTATTTTAAAAAATAAAAAGAATATAAGACATTATTGTGTTTAAAAATTATTCATACATATAGTTAATTTTATTGCAATATTGAAGCTATGTAATCCCTTTTTCGATTTCCTATTCCAATTCCAAATTCCTGGAAAATTTGCAAATTATTTTCGTTTTCATCTTCATCTTGCTCATATTCACCATCTTCGAATTCGAAATCTTCATTATTCAAAACGAAATTATGCAATACACAAGCTGCTACAATTACTGTAGGTATTAGGTCAATTCGGGACATATCTAAGAATTTTAAACGCCTCCATTTTCCTTTTAATAATCCAAAACATTGTTCAATACGACATCTGATTGAGCTTAGCATTGTATTAAATTTTGTTTGTTCAGGAGTGAGATGTCCATTATCTCTATATGGCTTCATGAGAAATGGAAGCAATGGATAAGCATTGTCTCCCAATAAATGTTGATTTTCATCTATCGGAGGATTATTTCCGGACAGCAAAGCGAATATAGGACTTTGTCTGAATACTCTAGCATCGTGGACCCTTCCTGCTACACCAACAAAAATATCTATAAATTCTCTTTTGTCATTACAAATAGCCTGCAAAATTACTGAATGGTAGTTGTTTCTGTTATAATAATCTACAGGATTATGCGGTGGTGCCTTTATAGGAACGTGGGTCCCATCGATGGCACCTATAATACCAGGTATACCTGTGCAAACAAGTTATGTATTAAAAGGCAAAGATGTATAGAAATGTTAAAGAATTATTAATTCTTAACAATTAATTTTAAGAATGAATAATTATGAAATTATATAAAAATAAAGATTTTATAAGTCAATTTTTATATTTTATATTATTTTACATTTTTATATTATTAAAAGTGTAGGTTATAATTTTATTCTATAATATATGTATATTCTTTTTATTTTTATATATTTTCATTTTGTTTATACTTTATTGGAAGTAAAGCATAAATTGTTTTTACCCGATTCTTTTTTCAATACATTACTTATTCGCTGTCTCTGTATATTATTTGGCCATACAATAAATTCATGTCGTAATTCCGCAATTTGAGATATTATTTCTAAAAAAATATAATGACCAGTGCTTTTGGCTAAATTAAATCGATCTCCAACAGCTAAAAAGGATTCTTGCTTTGCCAAAACCCAGATTGAAAATAAAAGCTTTTTCTCAAGTGGGATTACATCTTCAATATTTCTTACATGTTGTAAATGATTCAATAAAGTCTACAAAAACTTTTTATTAAGTTATGTAGTTATGAAATAAATAAATAAATAAAGTTTTTTTTACCTCAAAAGTTCCTCTTGACATTCTAAAATGTGCGTAAAAATCAAATAAATTATATTGAAATATTATATTTTCATAATAATTTTGATTTCTTATAGGTCTTTCATTTCTTGGTGCAACATTATAATTAAGAAGTCCATTATCTACATGTCGAACTACACGATTAACCGCACCACATATCGCATTTAAATCTAAATCGTCTTCAACAAGTTCTTCTAAGACAGCCAACATTTTCCTTTCACAAAATTCTGAAATATGTCCGTTCAACGACATGCGAACTGCTATTTGTTAGCGATGTAGCAATCGCTCGGCAAGCAAGTTAGCCGCTTTGTCGACTTGAACGCGCCCAATCACTCGAAGGTAACGTCGATGCAGCCGTCGAGATCGAACATACGGCGTAGCGTAGATTTGATCATCGTGACGTGTACGGTCGGGGATTCGAGCCGTACGAGCGTAAGATCGGTGTGCGCGTATCTACGCGTATCTAGATCGTTGCCGTGATCGGTCCGACGGTTATGAAATTGTCCTTGTACTCGTTGCGCAGCAACTTGTAGATGTTCAGTCGCTGCTCGTAGAGGCCCTTCCACGTTTCGAGGGACATGGACAGTTCGCGTCCTTGATGATCACCCAGAACGATCTCCACGTAGCTCGATGGACCGACGTTGACGCTGATCTCCAGAAACTTGTAGCCCGTTGCGGTCAGGTCGTAACGCTGACTCAGAATGCGCACCGCGCGACGTTTCGTCCTGCGTACGAACGTAATCAGTAAAGTCGAAGGAAAATAAAAAGAAACGGAAGACTTACGATTCCTTCTGAGGGCTGCCCATCTCGGAGTAGAAGCCGAACATGATCCGTTCGCGCAGACGAGCGTAGCGAGAATGATCTGGTAAATGGCGCTTTCTGAACTCGAAGGGAGAAATCGAAGAGAGTGGGGGAGAACCTATCGCGACAGGTTTTATCGCAAACAATTCTTATCGTTCCGAGAACCGTTATCGCAAACGATTCCAAGAATTGTTTTTGTTCAAAAGACTTCCCGCGGTGGGGGAAGAGTGTTTATTTTATCGAGGAGGCCTCCGCGGTGGTAATGGCGGAGGAGGAGGAGGACTCCGGGGACGCACGTATTTCGACGTAGATTCCCGCGCTTTTACTGGCGGGGGAGGGGGAGGACTTCGGGGACGCACGTATTTCGACGGCGTTGCCTTGGAGGATGTATCCTTTGACTCCCAATGGTATCTTTGGTTCGAAGACGTTGGCAACTCCCAATAGTATCTTTGGTTCGAAGACGCCGGCTTGTCCTTCGACGGAGACGATTCCCAATATCTTTGATTTTTCTTCGATGGTGGGGGGCTCGGTGGGCACAGCGGCTCACGATCGTCGTCTAACCGACGATACCCCTTGCGCTCGACCGATGCAGATAGTCCTTCAATCGGTCCATGCCGTGACGCTCGTAAGAGGACGAATGAACGAAAAGAGCGTTACGCACCGTCTATATACCGTCGACGCGTATATACTATACACTATATACTAAGGGAAGAAACAATACACGAGAAATTCGTTTGCGTAGTTTTTATTTCAAAAAAATGTCTTCGCAACCACCAGTTATACAGTTTGAATACATTTTGCATGGCGCAATTCGTAGCGTGATGTCCGCATCACGTAGTATCAGCGGCATCCATATCGGTTAATGATAGGGTGTCTTCGTAAACCGCATCCAGGGTCTCGATGTGCACGCGTTCGTCCAGAAGCAAGTCTCGCAGCCACGTTCGTTTCTCAAGTCCGAATCTCAGAACCGAATCTTGAGAACCATCTTTAGCGTAAGAATCATTTGATAACATAGATCATGTTGTATTTTCAGAATCTTCGCATGGTGGTTTCTTGACGATACCAATTGTCCTTCGTCTTTTTACACATTCGTATAAAAATGCCAAATTTTTCAATAATGGCCATTCTTTCTGGTCTGATGCTCCTGATCCCGAGCGTACTAGTTTGCATCGTTCTTTTGAAAATCGATTCCGTAAAGCAATCCAGCGATCTCTACATTCGGTACCTAAATAACAATTGTAATTATTTAATACTGTTTCTTTCACCAAGTAAATCAATATTTATCAATATATTGTAATGTATTTACTTGATGCGTTTAATTTGTTGCTGATAAATAACCACGAATTTTCTACAACATTTCTGTCCTTATAATCTTTCTCTTTTTTATCATATAAATGCCGAAATTGTTTTACCCAGAAAATCAAATCAACATCGTTTATTTATATGTTGATGGTTTTACTTTTTCAAACACGTTAAAAGGTTATGTTCTTCTTTTGCACGTAACTCACTTAACACTTTACTTCTTTTCCGTTCTTTTCACCGTAGGCCGTTTGGCCGTAGGCCGGTAAAGATAAAGTTGAGTTATCTTTTCGGTTACGGCCAAAAACTGCAGATTATTGCCACCTATTATAAACGGTAGTATGGGTTTCCTATCTTCCAACTTTTACGGTACCGGCCTAAGTTAACAGTTACGGCTATTATAAATCGGCCTTTACAGGGGGGGCTATTCATACAAAAACATTCATGTTTTTGTAATTCATCTTTCTTATCAATTATATTTTTGCATATCATGCATTTGAGTGGAAAGTTCAACTGAAAAAAAATTGTTTACACATAATTATATATAAATTATATATTAATTATATATATGCTTATTTTATATATGTATATATTCGTGTATGAAAAATTTGTTACCAGAAATTTAACACTATTTGTGCATGTAGCATTTTAAGTAAATAAGTAACTTTATAATATTAAATATTCTATAAAAACAAAAAATAGTATACTTACTGTAGTACAATCTTCAATGTTCATTGTTTTTTCGTTCAGTTTTACCTGAAAAGCGTCTTCTAGGTTATGAAACACTATGCTATTGCAACGACTGTCGAAAAATGTTCGATCTTGCCCAACTTTGTTACGACAAGAATGCTGGTAATTCTTCGACGGAAGCTCCCCCACTTACGTGTCGTCAGTAGCCAATCGGAACGCCCGACAAGTTTGTCGTACGACACATGAAATATCAGCCTCAGGGTGCAAACCCATGCAGCGGAATAGCGTAACGCGGAACGAGAGCAGAACCAATAACGAGCATTCCGTGTTTCTAAAGAATCTCGTGATTGGTTCTACTCTCGTTCCGCGTTACGCTATTCCGCTGCATGGGTTTGCACCCTCAGAGTATACGCATGCGCGAAACGAGAGAGAACGAAAAGGCCCAAATGAGTGCGTCCTTTTCTAGATAGGATTACCCCACTCCTACAATGCGTACTCTAGTACTACTATCTCTATGGGAGTAAGTCAGAGTTAGCTACTATATTGGAATATTTTGGAACAGGTTAGAGTAACGTACATGTGGCGGCATATACAATTGTACTAAAGATAATTTATTTGTAAATTATTCATGTTGACATTTTTTGTGGTACTGTTTAATAGATTACGATCCAAGAATTTGTACCTAAGTATAAAGATAAAAAAGATTGTTGGTTTTTTTAATAGTCATAAACGTAATTCGTAGTATAATAATCCTATACTGATCAAAATAGAGCCATTAAACATGATTATTAAAATATTATCCAATTTATAACCTCTGCAATTTGATACAACACTGATACTGCGATCTAATATATTCTATCAGATAGCAGAGGTTATAGATCATTGGGTTAATATTTTAATAATTATGTTTATCAGTTTATTTTGATCTGTATATGATTTTGAGCCTAAGCACAAAGATGTTGTAACTCTCCGACAGAATCGTTTATATAAGTGTAATAATCGTAAGAATTTATTTCGAAAATCCATATATGGATTAAATAAATTCTTACGATTATTACGATCTTCCAAATGCTAATTGGAATTGTAATTATTCTCTAGATTTTTATTGTTTTGTAAAAGAAATGGAATAATTCCGCTCGAAATCCATTCCAAATAATTTTGTAATACGTATCCAGTTTATACTTCTTCTAAAATGGCGCGTTTTCCCTCAGAGTTAACTCTTCAACCTACCTCAGTCAAGATTGGAAGAGTTGACTCCGTGTATATTGACTACGAGTTTTGGAACGAATAGACTCCGCCCATAACTATATGGTACTTTACGCAGTGTTTCGGAACGACCATGAGTTAACTCTCTTACTCAGAGTAAGGTTTTAGAACGCAGCCCAGGAGAGGCCACGAGTACATCTTCAACTTCTTGTCTTCGTTCTATATTTGAACTTGTTGGCAATACAGTTGTTACTAAGACTGGTATCAAAATTGGGGCACTAAAATTAAAAAATATAATTATCTAAAATTTTTTAACATATACAATTTTCAAAATACGCAATAATAAATATACTTAAATCACAATTTATAGATGATAATATTTAGAAAACAAACGTGTTGTTTAGTGAAGTCCTAGAATCTGATTATTATTCCGAACCATAACTCCTATTTCAGGACCCATCACAGCAAGTGGTACTATTTTGTGACTCTTGTCTAAAATTTCTGTCAATTCTCTGTAAAACCACAGGTAAAAATGAAGCATAAATTTATTATGATTTACAAAGTATGTGAATTATATGTAACTTCAAAATAAACAAAAAGAAGGTCGAGCATATGCCACGCACTACATCTTATTAATGACTAAAATTAAATGATTATAAGCTAGTAAATTGTCACAAAAATTCAAAAATTGCAGACGAAGTTATCCTATTTCATTATATGTAGGAATGACAAAATAAAAGTCGAATTAAATTTTATACTTTTATTGCACGTTTCAATATGAATATTTTTTTTGTATAATATTATTATATAAAAATACATATCAAACGTTTAACTTACTATGAATATGAATCAGTATTAGGCATTTTGTAATCATGTCAGATTACAATTATTATGATCACGAATTTTCTGTAATTACAAAGATTACTTGTAATTGCTGAACTCTGATACAAATTGAAAGTATTAAACTATGTTAAGCAAAAACAAAATATTTTTATTGCACATCTTCGTTATCCTCTTCCATCAGTCGAGTGTGAACCATTTGTACAATGTCTAGAAGTGTCTGCATTCGTTTCCTGTATGGCATTCGGCGTAATTGCAGCCCTGTTGCGTGCAACATAGAATCAATTTCATCCGATGGCGGCAGGGGAGGTAAAACAATATTTGCTTCCTCTCTACACATCGCATCCGCAATTCTATTTATTGCACTTACGGCTTCTTCAGTGTGTGTAGCTGTATTTTTGCGGGACTTTCTCTTTCGTGTGTTTGCTGAAACTATCACGATATTAAATTACTAATCAACTTAATATAATAATGTATATGACTACAGGCATCTTAAACGCTTTAAATTCTTTACATGGTCTAATGAAGAAAAGGGGTGAAATTGTCTGACAAGGAATAG